AAACAGTGGAAGCACAAATATAAAGAGTCATATAATTCTTGTCCTCAATAACTCATGTTCTACTGGGGAAGACTACATAACAGGGAGAATTATGGCTAGGCAGAGATTTTTTTTTGAGCCAGGATGGTAAATTAAGTGATAGGGCAAATGATTGTAATGCTTTTGCCAGCAAGGTTAGTGTTATTGTGATTTCTGATCTCAGAGCTAGAGGGAATTCTCTAGGAATAAGGCAGAAAGGAAGATTACATACAAGGCAATATGGCATGAATATAGCTTTACGGAAGTGAGATTGGTGTGAATTGGATTAAAGTGGCTAGACAACATGGGAAAATTTGAGAGTTTCAGTAAACTGTAAGGTCAAGACGACTTAGAAGGATGACATACAAATAAAACAAGTGAATCTATTCATAGAACCATAGAACTCAGGAAGAGGTTGCTATGTAATACATACACACATACACATCTATATGTATACTCATACATATATACATATATTATGCCTATGTGTATCATGTGTATGTGTATGTTGTATACTACATATATGTATATGTAGATATAACTCTATAGACATACATATGTGTATATCCACATAGATGTGTATATGCACATATAGATATTTACATCTATATATCTATATCTAATCTATGTATACTGGAATTGAGCAATGGTAAAGTGAAGACCGTTATCCCAGAGAGATAACCTTTGTTAGCAAGGCCATGCAAAATGGGTCTGATTGGCATGCTATCCTTTTGTGGCACACATATGTTTGCATATCTACATAACTGAAAACTGCCCTAGCAGTCCCTCTTGGTGAATGTTTTAATAAGGAGGTAAGCCAAGACTTTACAGTTCTTCGCCCAGTACTGGGGAGGGAGAGGACAACTCTTCAAGTAGGAAGACCCCTGCAGCTTGGGAAAATGGCTTTCAAATGTGGCTGATCCATCCCTCTCTGGCACTTCAGAACTGGACTGTTAGATAGTTTATGAACATTATGCTTCATTCTGGCTACAGCATTTTAGGGAGTTGTCAAATTGTATCACACCTAAGGGATGGAGAACTGGATGGAGAAATAACCAGAAACTATACCCTATCAGAAAACAGCAGAAAATAAGTTCTTGAAAAAAGGTGCTTTTCCTCCTATATTTTTAAAGCCGTAACAAATTGCCTAATACATAGTACATGCTACATTGATTTTTGGGAGGAATTGCAGTTAGTTGGTTGAAACAATTTGAGGAGAAAACAAACTTTTAGGGAACATTATCCTTGTAATCAAATACTTAAAGATATGATGACCCTTCGTCATCACACCTTTGATTTTACTTGAATAAAGAGAATAGATCTTTGAATAATGGGTCAATGTTACATAAAGATTAAAGGAAAAAAATAATAACTTTATGGATATGGGCTGCTTATAATGACAGGAATCAGAGTTTGTAAAGGGACTGGCAGTCTTCAGTCAGATGCTTTATTATCTGGAAATATTGTGGAGAGGGCATTCTCTTTATCTAAAGTGCTAAATTAAGCAACATTTGTGCACTCTGCCACCTCTCCAATTCTGTAATACTAACATGTTTCATTTAACTCTTAAAAAAGTTTTATGAAATGGGTATTGCAAGGATTAGTAACCTAAACACAAAAAAAGAGAGGACTATCAGAGGTGAAATGATTTGATCAAGGTGATCATCAAGTGGCTGTTCTGACAGTAGCAATTTAAGGATTTTTCCACCTCAACACAGCAGCCTTCACTTTTAACAAATCCAGGTACTTTGTCCATCCAAAGGAGGTCAACATAAATGTACCCTGAGATATAGATCTACCATGAGTTATCTTGATACTTGGTGGCTTCTGCTTAACTCTGTATGCTTGTATCTAGAGTGGGGAGATTGTACACTGAAGATTCTCATGAACAGATGCAATCTGAACAGCTAGCTCCAAAATATAATGCTCTAAGCCAATCAAATTATCCCTAATAAAAATAATCCTCCATACTCAGTGTGGTGTGAATGAATTAGAGAGAGAAGGAAAGTTGCTTGTAATACTGACTTTATTATTGATGTTATTATTAGGTTTTTTTTTTTTGCCTATCAGTTGAAACACATACTATTTATTTCATAATAGTCATACGGATCTATAGGTGACAGTGTATATAGATGGTTGGACTTGTCATCAGAAAGACATAAGTTTGAATCCTGCCACAGCCACTTATTAAGTGCCTGGCACTTAAACTCAGCCTCAATGTTCACATATGTTAAATAGGAATAATAATAGTCCCCACTTCACAGTGTCGTTGTGAGGAATAAATGAAATAGCACATGGAAAAGGCTTTGCTCTGCTTTAAACAGTATGACAGTTACTATTTTCTTGAATGTTTATGTTGAGGGCCAGAACTGGAAAGTCTAAATAGGGGATGAGGAATTCAGGTTAGAGTTTGACTCTTCCTTTTTCCTACCCGTAAGGGCTTAATTATTCAGATCATTTGACTCATCAACTTTCCACGAAGGTGTTAGACTACTCTGCCCCTTGAACCTTGATGGCAGGCAGGTGTGAACAATTAAGGATGCACATAAGGGCTGGGATTAGTTACATAAGAATGGTGAGAACGCCTCAGCGATGATTGTTAGCTTTCACTATATAATCCGGACCCAGAATAATAAATTGGCTCAGTGTTTCACTGACCGCCTGACCCACGTCTCTTTATATACAACACTTAGTCGAGGGGACGTGTTTATGTAGGAACTGGGTCCATTTGACACACATCAATGGAGATATAAATTTTCTTTTGATCTTCCTAAGGAGACCCTGGGTGGGTAAAAAATGATCCAAAGAGACTGCTTTGGGATAGTACCCCAAGACTAAATCTGTTTACTATGAGTACACAATCTCTGGTGCTAGGCTACTTCTTACAAAGATATGGGGAATATATATTCATCGTGTGTGTGTGTGTGTGTGTGTGTGTGTGTGTGTGTGTGTGTATGTGTATGTTTGTGTGTTTTCCCTTCTTTGGGAAACTGCTCCAATGAACTTATTCAGTTTACCATGCAGCTGTCATCAATAACCACAACTCTTACCCCAAACAATATAATATTCCATTAATACAGTCCTTTGAAATTTAATTTCTAAATGTTTTAATCAGCTGTGCCTCAAAAAAAGTATGGAAAGATTATTATGAATCTTGTCTATGGACCTGCCTATCTTTCTTGCTGTCAGATTAAAAAACAAAACATAACAAAACAAAACAAAAAACAACTAACAAAACTCTGATTGGCACCAAGGAGAGTTTAAAGATCTTTAAAGATGTATTTTCTGTTCCAATCCTCACCTTATTAGATTTTCTTCTTTAGTGGGCATTTAGGAAGCAGATTTATACTGTAAACAATTAATAAATATTTGTTACATACTACTGTGGTGATCCAGGGATGCTGGGCACCCCAAAATTCAAGGGCAAAAGGTGAAAATCTGCCTCAAAGAATTCAACTCAAGACATCTTTCAGTCAGAGACAAAGTTTATTGTTTTGCCAATAGAAGTGGGTGGAGTTTTTAAGTACATTCACATTTTTGATGCTCATGTTGACAAGCAGGCTTGATTTTAAGAATCTGAACTATTTGTGATCTAATATAAGCCTGCCAGACTCTTAAATTATGTGATCAATATAATGAGGTCAAAATAGACACATATATAGAAAGACAGTGGAATATTTGGATGTGGTCAAGGAGTGGCCAGTAGCTTGTAGTGACTGGGAGATAACAGAGACCTGGTCTAGATGGGATTAAGGAGTGGCTAAATAGCCTGGGGTGAGGCCAGGAAGAGGGCCACAATGAAAGGGAAGTTAAAAGGATTATGGACTGGGAAGGGCCAGGTGCCTCTGGCAAATGCCAAGAATCTGGGCCAAGTGGGAAAGTCCAGGACCTTTTAGGGATCTGTCATTATTATTCCATCACTACATGCCAGGAAATGTGTTAAATTGGGAGATAAAAGAAAAAAAAAGTCAATCTCCATTTCCAAAGAACTTATTTTTGAATGGTAGAGATAGTATGAATAGCATGTGTGTATACATACATATTTTACACACATATATATGCAATGCAAGTGGAAGATAATGTCAGAAGGAAGGCACTAGTTGTGGATGAAGTAGAGATAAAAGCTTCTACAGAAAATGGAATTTGAGATTAGTCTTGAAGGAAGACAGGGAAACTTGTAGACAGACAGGTAGGCAGACCATCTGAAGTATGAAGGACAGCACATGAAAAAGCATGGAGATGATCAATGGAATGAATGGAACTAGAAGAATAATTTATACAATGTTGGAAACATTAAGACAAATTGACTTTTAAAGAATTTAGAACTTGGATTAATGTATTGATCAAGCACAAGACTGAAAGAGTGAAGATGAATCATTCTACTCACCTCCTGCCACAGAGAAGATCAACTTAAAGTGCAAAAAGAGACGTACTTGTTGGGGTATGGCCAATGTAATAACATAGTTAATTGGACTATGAATAATTATGATAGGGGTTTATTTCATATATATATATATATATATACACACACACACCCATACATATATATGTATGTATATATATTTTTCCTGTTTCAGTTGTATACATAAAAAACCACATTATATATGCATGTGAAAAATAAATAAGAGACCTTTAGATTTGACAGTTAAGAGATCATTGATAACTGTATAGCAAGATCATTTTCAGTTAAATGATAATGTTGGAAGCAAGATTGCAAATGGTATAAAATCTAAGGGGAAGAGGAGAAAAAGCAGAGGCATCAAAATGTAGATAGCTTTCTCAAGAAGTGTATCCTCCAGGGGAGGGCAGATATAGAATAAAATATTATAACCAGTGAGCATGGTCAGGACAAATAAGGTTTTGGGTTTTTTTTGTTTTAAGATGAGGGTGAAATAGGCACAATTATGAGCAGAAAAGAAGGAACAAATAGATTCAGAGTGAGATAGTGAATAGGTTAGAGTTGAGGGGAGGGGAGTAGGAGGATGAAGAAGAAAAAGTAGAAAAGAGGAGATGAGAGAAAGGAAGTGGAGAAAGAGAACAGGGTGCAGAAATTTCACTTGTGTCTGACTCTTAGTGAGCTCATTTGGGGTTTTCTTGGCAAATATATTGGAGTTGTTTGTCATTTCTCCAACTCATTTTCCAGATGAGGAAACCGAAGCAAATAGAGTTAAGTGATTGGCCCAGGGTCACACAGCTAGGAAGTATCTGAGGTCATATTTGAACTCAGGTCTCCAGACACCAGGCCCAATGCTCTATTTACTGTACTACCTAGCTGCCCTAGAATAAAGAACACTCTATAAATTGTTGATAAAGGAGAAAGCTTGAAATTTTAACGAGACTTATCCTTCAAGGTCCCACATAAAGAATTTTTGTTTTTCCTTATCTGGGAGTTAAGGGGTGGGAAGTAGAAGGGACTTTTCTCTTACTGTTGAATAGTAACAATAAATGATGAAGATGGGCATTGAAGGATTATGTGGAAAAAAAAGTAATTTCCAGGCTAAGGAGCCACCTGTTGTTGTTCAAAAGGATCTAAAGAAATTGATTTTAAGGGGCCAAGACACACAATTGGGAATCCAGATTCACATCAAAGGATGTGAGGCCTAATGCCCTCTAGCAATTGCTCAGGATGCTAATTAATTACTTAGGTGCTTTGGAACAAAAGAACTTTACCACTTTTACTTGCTGTTATTACTTCCCCAGACCCATCCTTTATTTCTATAATATTCATTTTTCACAAGTACCACTAAAAAAAAAAAAGGAAAGTGGTGTGCTTTTTTTTTGAAAAGGTGGACAAAAATCTTAAAGAGATTAGAAGAATTTTCTAGTCTTTGTGCATTAGCATTGATGGATTTTTAGGACCTTGAAAAAGGAGAATTGGTGGTGGTGGTGGGGGGAATCCAGTGCATCACAGAAAGTGAGAGCTAGAAGATAACTCAGAGAGCTGGCATAATTATTAGAGTGCTGGGCGTGAATCCAGGAAGACCTGAGTCATTCAAATCTGGCTTCAGACATTGACTAACTGTGTGATCATGTTAAAATAGAATTTCTCTTTCTATGCATATACACATACACATCTATACATAAATATATACATATATGTATGCATATACATATACATATATACACACATATATGAAATATTGAATTCTTGGTAAATTGCCTTGCCATATGTGAATAATGTCTTTAGCTATTGCTCTGGTCTCTAGGAATTAGGATGTTTTCTGACCCTGCATTATAATTAGCTCTGGAACATCTCTGGAGATGTTGATTGTACTTGAAGGCCTGTGTGGAAAGTCTTTTTTCCCTAGAGCTAATTTAATTAAAACAGAAAATGTAATTTGTATGGTTCAATAACAAGCATAAGTCTACCTGTCTAATTATTATAAGAGTGGATCTGGGCTTCTTTAAATTTCTTTACTTTAATGGATTCTCTTCTACCATTCAAGGGCAAACAACTTCTTGAAAGACTCAGATGAGGGATAGGATTGAAGAAAATAGAAACTTACCAAGACCCATGTAGGCCTTTTATGACTCTTGTGGCTTAACATAATCTTCCCTGCTTCAAGTGGCTTAAATTGGCTGGCTAGGATAGGGTCCTGAAGCTCTGTATTCACTAATCATTTGCTTCTACTTTCAGGTTAATTTAGTCCCAAAGATAAGGTATTAATGTCGAAGACTAAAGCAAAACCAAACAACTTGGCTCTCAAGACAGGAATACATTTCAGGTAATACATTTATGGCAGTATATGTGTAAAAGTAATTCACTGCTCAGATAATATCACATACTTTAAATTTATTTGGAAATAGTTTTATGATTTTTTTTCCCCTGATTAAGGTTTGAATCCAACCTGAGTAGTTCAGAACTGGCAAAGGCAAAATATTCACCCTCAAGAATTAACTACCATCAATAGGCCATTTTTTCCCCATTTTTATTCTGAGCATTTTTTATTCTACCATATAAAATAATGTATTTATTTTAATTTGAAAAATGGAAATGAAAATATGAGTCTTGAGCTATGATGTTTTATTTCACTTGGTATTAACTCTGAATATTTTTTTCTTGTTTGTTAAAATGACTATCTGTTCATCCTGGTTGCATTATATTTAAAAATAAGAATATATTTACAATAGGTTACAGAGGGATTTGTGTGATTACAGTTATTGATTTCTCCTTTATTTAATTCTAGAGCTATAGAAATTGCTAATACAATGGAATATTACTTTTTTTCATATGATAAAATATGTATGTTTATGGGAAAACCAGAAACTTGTGAAATAGTGTGCGTTCAGTCATTTCAGTCACTTCTGACTCTTTGTGACCCTATTTTCGGTTTTCCTGGCAAGGATACTGGCGTGGTTTCCTATTTCATTCTCCAACTCATTTTGCACATGAAGAACTGAGTCAAACAGACTTGTCCACAGTCACAGAGCTAGTAATTGTCTGAAGCCAGATTAGAACTTTCACAAGTCTTCCTGATTCCAAAACCAGTACTCTATCCACTGAGCCACCTTGTAGCCCTATGAAATATTACATACCATATACAATATGCTAAAATAGAAACCAATTTTATTATTTTCTATTAGTGAATAGACATTGAATAATTCACTGAATATAGTGTTTTATTTTATATATTTTAATAGATTGAATAAATAAAATTATTCCTGAGACAAACTAATGTCATGAAAGATAAAGAGATAATTATTGAAATAGGAGCCCATATTTATTAAACAAATTCTTTATTCAGTAGGTTGTGAGACATATTTTTGGATGTACAAAACTTACATAAAACACAAACTCCTAAAAGAGCACAGTCTACTAGGACAATAACATAGGAACATGCAAAGTTTTAATTTGCATACTTTCTGGAGAAAGTGAAGACTATTGAAGAGCTGGAAGAGGATTTTTTGATATATATTTTAAATGAAAAAGTCAGACAATTGGTTACTTGATAAAATTGTAGTTCCTTAACTCTCATCTTAATGGAGACCTTTCTCCTTGGAAAAGCAGGTGGCAATAGTGGAACATTGGACAAAAGAACAAAACCGTCATCACCATTTCCTACTCAAAAGGTGAGTAAGAGGCATAAGTATTACATACTATGACGGCACAATAGTCTTGTCATTCTCTGTGATGCGTGTGATATTACTGAGCTAATTTTGTCCAGTAGTTTTGTCTGGAGTTCTTTTAATCAAATCCAGTTTTTGAGATTTCATTTAGATTTCCTTGACTGAACCACAATGACTTCTGAATAAATTTATGTGTATAGATGTATAGACATATATACATGTACATATATGTGTATCCACACAAATGTATATGTGTGTTAGTATTTGTTTGTGCTTATATGTGTAGGTTGTCCAGCTTTTGAAATACACATACATCATGTATTACATGATATATTATGGGTATTTTGAATCTCCTTATAAATATATGCTTGTATTTATGTACATACATATAAAGCATTTATTTGAAGGACTATAACAATTAAATTAAGTTGTATATGTAGATATCTTGGATTTTTTTTATTGTGTTGACAAATATAATACTCTCATTCATTAAATCATATTTTATGGAATATTGAAATAAATTTTGCATGGCTATTTTCATTTAAGCATTTTTAAATTGTAAAATATTGTGTAAGTGTTATAAGCATTATTGATTCCTATATTTCAAAAACGTTCTTTGTAGGTACTCCATTCACTAATGCAAATCACATGCCCTTTTATAACAGTAAAACATACTTGAGTAGGTATAATGTAAAATTTCCAACAATTTTACCTGTCATTATTAGATAATATACAACTAGTCAATCCCAAGTCTCACACTGTAAGCTTTTCTTGCTTTCTTGACTTACCAGTGCTCATATTCTGTGAGCATAGCCTTCACGTAGCCAGGGTCACCACTATACCATGTTGAGTATAGAATTTTCTTAGAGTTATTATTATTATTGTTGTCTTGATCAAATATCAGTCATGTTCTTACTAACAACTATTAGAGTAACTGCATTGTATACAAAATTATTCAGGAATAGATTCCAAAGGTATGTATGAATGACTTTCAAAAGTTCAGGAATATGCATGTGTTAGATGATGATGCAAAGAGATCAGAATATCTCTCATCCCTGTCATGGCTTGTACTGAAGGAGCAGATATCCCAGCTAGGGTTCCTTGGGCTTTCTTATGATTATTTCCTTGCCTACCACCCATAGATTAAGGGAAATTTATTTTTGGGGATATGACCTTTAACATTACAATCATCATTCTATGACCCAAGATTAAGTGACCCTGGCAAGTCATTTAATTCTGGTTGCCTAGCAAAATACATCCATATATACATATATATATATATATATATATACACACACATGTGTGTATATGCATATGCATGTATGTATATATTATATATACATACATGTATGTATGTGTGTGCATACACACACACTCACAACCCACCTCCTTGTCATGTCATAGTATAATATTGTCAAAACAATCTAATTCCTCTGCATAGTCAGCTGCTAGTCCCTTCTACATAAAATTAGCTTGTGTGTATTATTTAAATATTTTGTATATACTTATGTGTTCTCTCTTCCTGTAGAATGTAATCTTTTCAAGGGCAGATGCTATTTTATCCATCTTTGTGTCCCGCAAAATCTAGCATATCATTGTTTAATAAACACTTGTTGAAAGATTGATTTTTATGAATATATGTGAAGTAGACACTATAACGTATGTCTTCTTGACTGATTCATAGGTATATTTTCAAAAGGAATCTCTTAGTGCAGTCAGAATGCTTGAAATCATCAGCAAGTACCTACATTTAGAAACATCTACGTGTCCTGAAGATAACTGAAATTTACAACTGAATTCAACATCTGTGTAAAGGTCAGATGGCAAATAGGAATGTGACTGAATTTGTTCTATTGGGTCTCACGAGGAACCCTGAGATGCAGAAAGTCATGTTTGCTATATGTTTAATCACTTATGTTATCACTGTCATGAGTAATATGCTCATTGTGATCACTATTGCCTCCAGCCAGACTCTGGTCTCACCAATGCACTTCTTTCTAGCATTCTTGTCTCTGATAGATGCTTTCTACCCATCATCAATGGTCCCCAAAATGCTTGTAGATATGCTCCGTGAGAAGAAAACCATCTCCTTCAATGCGTGCATGACCCAGCTTTTTCTAGAGCATTTTCTTGGGACTTCTGAGATTGTGCTCCTCATAGTAATGGCCTTTGACAGGTATGTGGCCATCTGCAGACCTCTGCACTATATGACAATAATGAACCACCGCCTTTGCTGTTTCCTCATTGGATTGACTTGGACAGTGAGCTTCCTGCATTCAATAGGACAGATTCTCACCATAGTCTGGCTTCCCTTCTGTGGGCCCAATGTTATAGATCATTTTATATGTGACGTTATTCCCTTGATTCAACTTGCCTGCACAGACACCTTCCTTATAGGTCTGCTGGTTGTTGCCAATGCAGGGTTAATTTCAATGATGAGTTTCATTGTTTTGATGTTCTCCTATGCCATTATCCTGCGTTCCCTGAAAAGTTACAGCTCTGCAGGGAGACGCAAGGCTCTATCTACTTGTAGCTCCCACATTACTGTAGTCATTTTGTTCTTTGTCCCCTGTGTGTTCATGTATCTGCGACCAGTAACTACATTCTCCACTGATAAAATTATAACTGTGTCCTACACTCTTGTCACTCCCTTGTTAAACCCAATTATCTACACAGTAAGGAATGAAGAGGTAAAAAATGCCATCAAGAAGTTATGGAGTAAAAAAATTGGCTTCAGATTCTAAATGATTCTAACTATCAAGAACTGTGCTAATTTTTATCAATATTCTTGAAAGGTTTCAAGGTTCCTTTAGAAAAAAAAATAAATGCATTTAAGATCTGAGGCTTTTCCCAAAATGACTATACATGCTTTGTAAGCTTCTACCATCATTTTATATGGCAAATTCAAGTTTTTGTTTTCCAATTGCTAATAGGGCCAAATGGAAACATGTACTGGGAAGATGCTGATCCATTAACAAATGGTCACATGTTTTGACAACCATGCACCATGTAAATATAAATTATTATTATTTAAATCAAGTACCTATTCAACTGTATTTGTTTTGTAAGTCAGTCAAATAAATCATACGTTTTACTAGATAAAAAGCACTATGAAGACGGAAATGCTTTTCTTTTTCATTTTGCCTTGTAACATACTTTGCAAATTTCAGGCACACATATATGCACAAAGTTTATTTTATCTTTATATTGAATGACGTTCAGTAAACCACTTGATGCTTGGGCTGTAGATAATTTTATTTCTGGTAAACTGACCCAGAATTCAAGAACATTGTGGATGTCAAAATGCCAAGTATAACTCCAAGAGAATGCAAATAATTTGTGAGGACGCAACATTGCTAATGTGTAAACCTAGGATTCTTAAAACATTTTCCATCATAGACTCCATTTGGCAGTATGGTGATGACTATGTTTCCTTCTCTGAGCAATATTTAATGCATACATACAAAATTTAAGGAAATAATTAGACTTAGACATTGGTGAAAATAGATAATCATATTTGCTTTCCTTTCCAAGATCACATCCCACTAGAAATCTATCCACAAACCTCATTAGGAGGGCTTGGGAATCCTAGATTAAGAGCATTGCTGGACTTCCTCTTTGAGAACTGACTTCAGACACTATGAACTTTTTTTGACAACCTAATTTTTTTTTTAATCTACATCTCTTAAGGGATGTCACTCTGTGTGTGCCTGTGTGTGTGTGTGTGTGTGTGCGCAGCATCTTTGTATAAGCATACACATGACACACTATTTTCTGTATACCTATGTCTTTGGAAATAGCTGAAAGTCAGCTGGAATCAAGTGTCATGTTAGAATGGAGGAATCCACCTTGAGTAGGCTTTTATTCATTACAATGACATGTGATTCTGTAGAGAGAAGATCATTTAATGTGAAGACATTAATCAATATATTGCTCTTACTTGTAAAATATTCTCTCCTGTGATGCAGCTTGTGACTATAAATAATGGATCTAGAGAAATACCATGTATCTTCACTTGTAAGATTTGATGAAGAATTGGCTGAGAGGGTATTAATAGGATAATCACAAATTAAAAACCATTCATAGGCAATTGAATACAAACTACCTCACTGTCTTCAGCAGCAGCAATGTCAGTTCTTGGTTCTAAGATATTCGTGAGCCTTTTTTTTTTTTTAACATGGATCATTTTAACCAGGGTAGGAGATGATCAGGATACACTTTGTTTTTCTTTTTTTTTTCTTTTTTCTTTTTTTTTAATTTATTTTTAATTTTCAAAATTCACTTTCACAAGATTTTGAGTTCCAAAATTTCTCCCCTTCTCAACCCTCTCCCCACCCCAAGATGGCATATATTGTGTATACCCCATACCCTAATCAGGCCTCCCTTCTATCTCTCCTCCTTCTCTTACTCTCTTCCCCTTCAATTTTCCTGTAGAGCAGAATAGATTTCTATACCCCATTTCCCGTGTATCTTATTTCCCAGTTGCATGTGGAAACAATTTTTTTTTAACTTTTGTTTTTAAAACTTTGAGTTCCAAATTTTCTCCCTTCCTTCCTCCACACCCAGCCTTGTTGAAAAGGCAAGCACTTTGATACAGATTAAACATGTGTAGTCATGCAAAACACTTTCATAGTAGTCATGTTGTGAAAAGCTAAGTATATTTCCCTTCATCCTATCCTGCCCCACATTTATTCTATTCTCTCTTTGGACCCTGTCCCTCCTTAGAAGTGTTTGCTTTTGATTACACCCTCCTGCAACCTGCCCTCCCTTCTGTTATCTTCCTGCTCTGTTGTCCTCTTCCCCACCTATTTTCCTGTAGGGTAAGATAGATTTCTATACCCAATTGAGTATGTATGTTATTCTCTTCTTCAGCCAAATCCAATGAGGATAAGATTCACTAATTCCCACTCACCTTCCCCCTTTTCCCTTCCACTGTAAAAGCCTTTTCTTGTCTGTTTTATGTGAGAAAATTTACCCATTCTACCTCTCTGTATATCCTCTTTCATTCCTTAATTTTATTCTTGAGATAACACCTTTTCATCTTCAACTCATCCTGTGCCCTCTATCTATCTATCTATCTATCTATCTATCTATCTATCTATCTATCTATCTATCTATCTATCCATACATACATACATATAATTTTTCCCTCCAACTACTCTAATACTGACAAAGGACTCATGAGTTACAAATATCATATTTCCATGCAGAATGTAAACAGTCCAACCTTAATAGGTCTTTTATGATTTCTCTTTCCTGTCTACCTCTTCATTTTTCTCTTGAATCTTGTATCTGAAAATCAAGTCTTCTATTCGGTTCTGGTCTTAATCAAGAATGCTTGCTTGTTCCTCTATTTCACTGAATGTACATGTTTTTCCCCTGAAGGATTATGCTCAGTTTTGCTGGGTAGGTGATTCTTGGTTGTAATCCTCCAGAATATTATATTCCAAGTCCTATGGTCCCTTAATGTAGAAGCTGCTAAATCTTGTATTATCTTGATTATGTTTCCACAGTACTTGAATTGTTTCTTTCTGACTGCTTGCAATATTTTCTCCTTGACCTGGGAACTCTGGAATTTGGGTACAATATTCCTAGGAGTTTTCCTTTGGGGATCTCTTTCAGGAGGGGATCAATGGATTCTTTCCATTTCTATTTTGCCCTCAGGTTCTAAAATATCAGGGCAGTTTTCCTTGATCATTTCTTGAAAGATGATGTCTAAGCTCTTTTTATTTTTGATCGAGGCTTTCAGATAGTGCAATATTTTTTAATTCTCTCTCCTGGATCTATTTTCCAGGTCATTTGTTTTTCCAATTAGATATTTAACATTGTTTTCTATTTTTTAAAAATTCTTTTGGATTTGTTTTACAGTGTCTTGATTTCTCATAAAGTCACTAGCTTCCAATTGCTCCATTCTAATTTTTAAGGAACTATTTTCTTCAGTGAGCTTTTGGACTTCTTTTCCATTTGGCCAATTTTGCTTTTGAAGGCATTCTTCTCCTCATTTGCTCTTTGGACCTCTTTTGCCATTTGGATTAGCTATTTTTTAAGGTGTTATTTTCTTCAGTATTTTTTTGGGTCTCCTTTAGCAAGCTGTTGACTTATTTTTCATGATTTTCTTGCATCATTCTCAGTCTTTCCTCTACTTCTCTTACCTTCTCAAAATCCTTTTTGAGCTCTTCCATGCCCTGGGATGAAATCATATTTTTCTTGGAGGTTTTGGATATAGGAGGCTTGACTTTGTTGTCTTCTGATTGTAAATTTTGAACTTCTTTGTCATCAAAGTCAGATTCTATGGTCTGGCACATTTTATGATGCTTGGTCATGATCATAGCCAATTACTTGAGTTATAACTCTTTTTAAGGTAGAGGACTGCTTCCTTGTGGAGAATGTAGTGTCCCAAGCTTTGGGGTTTTGTGCAGCTGTTTTCAGAGGTACTTCTAGGGACTTGTAAATTTGTAGTTCTTCCAAGGTGTTATGAAAAAAGGGCGAGGTGTTTACTCCTTTCCTGGACTGTGCTCTGGTCTATGAGTGATCACAAGCCCTTTTTTCTGCCTTGGAAATGTGAGGAAGTTCTTTCTCCACTGCCGCTATAAGCTCTGCTATGTCAGCACTCCTCCTCACCTCAGGACCACCACCCAGAATTGTGACCTAGATCCAAGCAAGAGCAAAGCAAGAGAATCCTGCACCAGCAGAGAGATCCCTGCAATCCCCCTCAGATAAGCCACTCAATTCCCCCTCAGTCTGCTTGCAGGAAGCTCAGGAGGCAGCCACTTCCCTGTGCCTAGCTCAGGGACTGAAGATGAGAACACCATGCTTCTCTCTCTAACAGTACACACAGACTTCTCCAATTTACCTTCTAAGTTGTCTTTGGTGTTCATGGGTTGAAAAGTCTGGAAACTGTCACAGCTGCCCCTGATTCAGTCCCCCAAAGACTGCTTCAAGGTTGCTGAGGGCTGCCTGCCCACACCAAACTGTGCTCCTCTCCCCGCTCAGCATGATGTACTTTTCTGACCAACCATCCAGGTTGCCTTAGGATGGGAATATGTTTCAATCTGTCTTTTTGTGGGTTCTGCTGCTTTAGTGTTTGTTTAGAGCCATCTTTTACAGGTATTTGAAGGGGTTTGGGGGAGAGCTCAAGCAAGTCATTGCTTTTACTCTGCCATTTTGGCTTTACCCCTCCTTGAGCAGTGCTTCTTAAACTGCAGGTTGTGACCCCACATGGGGTCACGTAACTGAATGTGGGGGTAGTGAAAAATTTGGTAAGATTAAAAGTTTTCTGAATGTGCAATGACCAAATATTAATTCAAAATCAAATGTATAATGATTCCGAGGTGTTTCTGGCAGTGCTTGCCCATGTTGCATCACCCAATCTCACTGCAGCCTTGGTTCTGAACCCACAAAATGTAGACTTTGTACTGCACATGCCATCACACCAAACAACACCAAAGAATGCTGCCAGAAACCCCTTTGCTCAGATTCGACATTGTATGTAATGAATTGCAATGTTTTTACTGTACATGCAAAATCATTAAGTAAATTTTAGCTTGGGATTAGGATAGAATTTCCACAATTCCTGAAATGGCCCTAGACATACTTTTGCCATTTTGTACTATGTATTTATGCAAATCAGCATTCTAAGCATTGATGATTATAAAATCAAAATATCAATCCACTCTGAAAAACACTGAAGACGCTCTATGTCCTGCATTATCAAGTATTCCACCGAGACTTAATTCTTTAAGTA